TTGCATCCCTGTCTTGCGCCGAGGATTTCAGCTTTTGCGATTGTAAGCTTCTGATTTGGCGAACTCTAAACGTCGTAGGGTCGTTTGTTTCTCGCCGTGCCAAATCCCTTAGGTTCTACCTTCGATGTTAGCTCGGAAATGTTAAATCCAGAATCTTTTCAGGACGATCTACCCAGTTATCTCCGCGCAGTCTACGAACGAAAGAATACAACGATGAGCTCGGAAAGTGAAGAGGTGAATCGAGTCTCGCCTATTAACTCCTTTGGCACGGTTGATCGGGGCCAGGTTCATCGTGATCGTTATTCCTTGGCCCCAAGCCACGGCCAGCCAAGCGTTTTACCCTAAGCACGTACACGCACGTGCGTGTGTCGTTACAGTGTGACGCGTGAGATCCAATAACGCCTCGACGAAACACTCATCTACATCAGTGACTACACTACTACAGTTACAAAAAGACTGGACATAACACTTCTCCAGGGGTCATGATTTCGGGGTCCCAGACACCTCCAGGCGCAGCTAGGTCTGCATGTCCGGAACACAGTCAGTATAACAATCGTGCCTGTTTCATCAGTCCCTCTTCTACACAATTTTTACTCCCTCTGACTTTATTTTTTATGAATTAATCAAAACTAGTACAAGACTGAAAATAATTATAAAACAAACTTGTATTCACTTCATACCTTTTGGTAAATAAATCATTTTAAAAAAGTAATTGAGTTATTCATTTAATTTACACAATTTTCGTTCTGAGTTATTTATTTAATGCACGTAATTTCTTTTCTCAATTATTTATTTAATGCACGTATTTTCTTTGCTCAGTTATTTATTTAATTGACTCAAGTTCTTTTCTCATTTTAATTATTTAAGATATTCAACTTCTTTTCTCAGTTATTTATTTATACAACATTCAGTAACTGGCTGATCTTTCATAAATTATAAACATGGTATACATAGTAGTTATTTCTCAATATAACCCAGAACGTGGTGCGACTTCCTCAGTCTTATAGCGACCGCCGAAGGATGCGGATCAACCTATCAAACGTACGTATACTACTAATTTCCTTTTGGAGTTTATTTCATTTTCTTTATTTATTCCTTTCACTTATTAAATAAGCTCATCAAAGGGGAATAAAATTTATGATTTTATCCCTCTCCTGGACGTCGGCTGACCATCCCTTTTATTTATTATTTTATTCCCTTTTATGGGCGTGGCAGGGACCACTCTCCCCAGTTACTTATTATTCTATTCCCTTTTATCGACCAAGACCTCCCATCGGCAGTTATTTATTTTTTAACTCTTTTCATGGGCCTTGCTGGGACTACCCCAAAATTAGTGATTCCCTTATCCCTTGTATCCCTGTCTCCCTTATTTCTCCGCATTCCTTACATCTCTGCATCCCTTACATCCCTGCATTCTTTTTATCTCTACATTCTTTTCATCCCTACATTCCTTACATCTCTGCATCCCTTATATCCCTGTATTCTTTTTATCCCTACATTCTTTTCATCCCTACACCATTTTCATCCCTACAATGTTTTCATCCCTACATTCCTTACATCTCTGCATCCCTTATAATAAATATATTATAAAGACTGCTTCGAGTAAAGGTAAGTAAAGGTAAGTTCAAATTTCGCGAAAATTTCGAAAAAACAGCGCCCCCTAGCGGCAAAAATTTGAACTAAAATTTCGATGTCGAATCAGCGCCATCTGGTTTTGGAAAAAGGAACTAAACCATGCACCAATTTTGGCCCTCTGGCGGCAAAAATGTGAACTAAAATTTCGATGTCGAATCAGCGCCATCTGGTTTTGGAAAAAGGAACTAAACCATGCACCAATTTTGGCCCTCTGGCGGCAAAAATTTGAACTAAAATTTCGATGTCGAATCAGCGCCATCTGGTTTTGGAAAAAGGAACTAAACCAGGCACCAATTTTGGCCCTCTGGCGGCAAAAATGTGAACTAAAATTTCGATGTCGAATCAGCGCCATCTGGTTTTGGAAAAAGGAACTAAACCATGCACCAATTTTGGCCCTCTGGCGGCAAAAATTGGAACTAAAATCTCGACCTCGAATCAGCGCCCTCTGGGGGCGAAAATTGGAACTAAATTTTGCATGATTTTTCTCTCTGCGATGCAGGGATGTAAAGGATACGGAGATGTAAGGGATGTGGAGATGTAAGGGATGTGCAGATGTAAGGGATGCGCAGATGTAAGGGATGCGCAGATGTAAGGGATGTTGAGATGTAAGGGATGCGGAGATGTAAGGGATGCGGAGATGTAAGGCATGCGGGGATGTAAGCGATGCGGAGATGTAAGGGATGCGGAGCTGTAAGGGATGCGAAGATGTAAGGGATGCGGAGATATAAAGGATGCGGAGATGTAGGGGCTGCAGGAGTGTAAGGAATGCGCGGATAAGAGATCCAGGAATATGAGGGATGTAGAGATATAAGAGATACAGTAATACAAGAGATAAGGGAATACACTAATTTAGGGGTAGTCCCAGCAAGGCCCATGAAAAGAGAGAAAAAATAAAGAACTGGCAAAGTCCTGAGACAGAAACTCAACAAGGAATACGAAAATTATGCAAGGAATGCGGAAATTATGCAAGGGATACGCAAGGGATGCAAGGGATGTATGGAATATGCAAGAGATACAAGAAATATGCAAAGGATGTAAAGAGATGCAAGGGATGTAAACGATACAAGGATATATAGGATGCAGTGGTATAAAGTATATGAGAGTACAGGAATACTTAGTTGTTCCTTGTGAGACACATATAGGGGGATCAGAAAATAAATACCTGGGAAAAGTGGGCCTTGGTCCATAAAGAAGGACAGAATACTAAATAATTAGGAAGGGTGGCCTGAGGCCTATAAGGAGGGATGAAATCATAAATTTCATCTCTCTGATGGCCCTATTCAATGCTCTAAGGATGTAAATGAAGTACCTAAATTATTATAAATAAATTTACAAAATCATTAAAAGGTAAGTGTTTGTTTGACTCATAGATCCGCACGCCTCTGCGGTCGCGATAAGACTGACTATGTCTTGCCTGGCTCTAGAATCTAGAGTCTAGATGAAACGTTCCGGTTCGCCGACGTCGTGGCCGGCTACCTTTTTCTCGAATCTGGAATCGCAGATAGTTTTTTTTTTTTTTTTTTAACATGGGGAAATCTTGCATAAGACCCCCCACCGTCTCCTGGGGGAGAGCGGCGGGGGAGTGTCAGATTCTTACTGACTAAAACCCCACGGCGACCAACACTGGCGTTAATGAAGGGCTCCGAAACCTTATGTGAATTACTCCGGAGTCCTCCACGCCTGGCACACAGGTGCCCAATTCGGGGGAGGTTTAAATTGAAATCACCCTCTGCTGCCTACTCTATAGCCGACACCGGAGGTCGCATCCGGTACCGGCTTCTCCTCGGGCCGCGTGCAAAGGCGCCAAGAGCCCCCACTCTCGACGCCAGCGGCCCTGACGGCCCACCGATTTTGGTGGTGAAGCCGTGATATCTAGTATTGAGAGAAGGGTTAAATCAATCTCCCCTTGTTGCTCCTTTTATTGCTATAATATCGCAAAGCTGAGATCAAGATATTGACTAACAATGAGGAATGATATTTCACATTTTTATACTAGGATAGAACAGTTAGCTTTCGTTCTCAAGGCACAAATTCAAACCCCCTTGGAATGTCTAGTCTTGTTGGATCTGTACTCACTATCTATATGATAATGAAGCGGCGTCGCCGAAATTAATGCCGCTGTGTTACCAGGCCTCCCGTCGAATCGATCGAGACGCATTCGACTGGATACCTCGCGCGCATACGATATGACTTCCGCGATCCGTCACGGACGAATGAACATTCAAATCCGCTGATCGACCTGGCTGGTTACACTGTGTCCATTATCCAGACAATGTCTACAACCTGTCCCCTCTTAGATCCTTTAAGGATAACGTCTTAAATTAATCAATTCGTTGTAACACATTGGTACACTGCACTCTTTGGAAGCAGTGTCTTATGTTAATGAAAGAAATTCTAAAGTGAAATAAGTGAAGTTGAAATAAGAAAAGAAGAAAATACAAGACTATAGTTGATAACATGTTTCCCTAAAAATGATTAAAAAGGATTTTCTTTACTCAAGATCATTTTCTAATATTTTTCAAAATAAAAGGACATGTATAGATATTAAAAATCATTAGAATAAAATTGTCCCTTTAATTAATATTGATCAAGGGTCAATGGGACGCGTCCATCGCGTCTTTCCCTGGTCACAATTTCCTCGATAAACGAGCCGGATAATTCACGAGCCGTGCTGATTCACGCCTCGCCGCGGGTAACGCGAGGCCTCCAGGAGGGCTGCCTATATCCCACGGGATTGAATTAGGAGGGCCGATCGCGCCACTTTGCTCTCCTCCCCTCCAGGAACTTCCTTCGATCGTCGTACGCGTCGCGACGACGAGAGCGTACCGTGAGAAGGGTCCAGGTGAAGCTTTTGTCTTTCACCCTGGAAACGATATTAAGCGTCGTTCGATGTTATCGGGCCTGCTCCCGGCGCACCCATCCCGATTCTGGATGCACCATTTCATGGCGGATTCGATCACCCTCCGTTCCCAATCCACTAACCCCCTGATCGTGCGATTTAATTAAAAATCATTCCCCGTATGAATATTATTTATCCTTACTTTGCATTTCAACGAGACATTTCATTTTATAATTCCTCTGAAATGATAGCGCACGAAAACCACGAATTACTCGATCACTCGTCTCTATTACCATCTAAAGGTGCACCATTCTCGCCCACAACTCCCCATCGTCGAATCGAACGCCTTTCTTCGTCCACCCACGTCCGCGACACCGTCGTATGAATCATTGCTTTAATTCGAACAGCATTATCGCGAGGATACCTTTAAAAATTCGCATCGTCTCGCATGCAAATGACCGTCAGTCCCGTTTTCATGGGGCGATTCAGGCCCCTTTCGGGTCGACCAACCATGAAATCATTCTAGTTACTTGGATATTACCCGTTGTCGAGGACGCGCATTATGCATCTGCTCGTTCGCGTAGCGAGTCCCCGTTGAATATACACGTATTCATGTATTCATTGAATAATTGTGGGATACGCGTGTCTCGTCCCGGTGCATCCTGACCGTGGGGAACGGTACACGAAGTTCCCGCAGGAACAGGACACGCCCCGGCGATCAGACACGAGGTACCAGCGGGGGTTTTTACTTCTCCGGACGAGAATGCTGACTTTCACGGGTCGTCGGACAGGCCCAGAAGGGTCGTCCTTCGCACAGGGCAAGTAGCACCTGTTACCGGACCGACGTGTGTATGGTTCTTTTTTAGAATGACACCGCGTGCACCGCCCTTTCTTTCTTCTCTGGGTGCTCTTTCAACGAGCACCAAAGGGGTGGATGCACACTTGCTGAATGGAGGCGTTTAATTGATCGTCGAGCATGGCGCTACTGTGGTAACGCGTTGGTATATTGGAATTTATTTTTGAACAAATGTTAGGATTAGGTTGATGATCGTATGATTTTTTAGATATATAATACCCATCTTCGAAAATACAATGATAGGGAAGAAATCTTGAATTTATCCCCATAGAAAATGTCCAAGAAATTCGAACTTCTTCCAAGTAACAAAAAGCATCCCTTCAGCCATCTAATGCAGGGAGTCGCCAACAATGAAGACACCATACCATAGAGGGAGCCTAAACAAACAGCGTTCATCCGAACAAAAGAGTAAAACTCGTGCACCGGTCGAAATCTACAGAGCGTAGAATTAGAAATTGGATCCGCTGCCACGTCTATTCCCCCTTCGTCCATTAAGCGTTGCAGTCTGGTTAATCCCATAGACTGGACGCGGACCTCGAAGGGGCCCCGTGACGCGAGATACGCGGCAAGTGGAAGGCTTTATTGCTAGAGGTGCATAGTCATGGATCGGAAAACGAGGGAGACGAGACACGAGGTGGCGGAAAATAGTTACAAAACATGGGGGGGTCGTAGAGGGAGAAAAAATAGCTTCCGACAGTGGGGGGTCCAAGGCGAGAGTGTGAAAATATTCCAAGGGGCCCCTTTCTCCCTTTAATGTCTCGCAGGAATATCCATAGGGAGGCGAAAAAGATTAAGTATCCCTTGCTCAGGGTGCACGTGGATCGTTTCTCGTTAGATGCGTCACTCTCTCGAGGCTTGTCGATATTAATGTATGGATATAAGGTGCGTGCTACGGGGTAATACGTGTCGAACAAAAGGATCTCGTTAGCAACAGGGCTCGATTTATCGTACACTATCGCTCAAAAGTATCTGCACGTCATTAAAGTTGCGAGGATACAATAATATTTCATTTGTTATAAAACAGGGATAAAGCATAGAGTGCTAATATTTTTCTGACGCACTGTCGTTTCAGTGTTTTCGTCTGGGATTTAATTGCTTTTGCTGTTTCGAAAGGTGTCAGGATTATGGTTATGGTGTTATGATTTACGAGAACGTTACGGTGTTTAATATTCTTCGGTTTGGGAACGGAGGGCTGCGGTTATGGGGTGTGGATGAATTCAAAGAAATTCGTTCTGCGGCCTCGATTTGTTTTCGTAACACCTACCCCTAACTTATGGGATCGTTCGCTTTCACCTGTGTTAATGTTCTACTACTGAATCACATAAATTTTCACCTTCTTATTTCCTGATGTTTCGAACGTTCCGAAAACCACCCCTTTGAGAAGTCACGCGAAGATGTTTCGATAAAAAATGAAATTTGTAATTCGTACAGTGAGAAATGAAATTGTAGAGGAGACAGGATCGATCGTAAGGGCATTCCTCGAAAGGGAGACCCGCACCCCCGGTCGAATTGCACAATGCAAAAATCCCCAGCGAATCGGACACGAACCCCGGGGGAGAAGTTTCGTGCTGGACTTGCACGCGGGGAATTAGATTAAAAACATTAAAGCCACCCCCTTCTGTGCCCTTCGGTTAAGAGAGATGGAAAGGAAAGCGTATCTTCGCGCCACTAGTCATTTCGTGATTACCCTTGCGTCGAATGCTCGCTGGACCGCGAAACGAAATTAGACTTCTAATAATACGCAGGATTTAAAGTTGCCGTTGGACGAACAACAGATGCGCCATTTCGATCCGCCTCCACTCTGTGGGAAACGCGATTAACCGTTTCGATGGATGCTTCGAATAAATGTTGCGGATAAACATCGTCCCTGTTGGATACTTTTTCTTTCTTTCTTTTCTTCATGGGCTGGCTAATTGATTAAATTTTTACAATACACACTGTCGGTTCTGATGAAGGGGTAGACGAATATACTAATTAAGAGGGGTGTATGGGTACCTCAAAAATTCATGCGGTACCCGGAATTAAGGGTGGTAGTTACAATATATTATTTTTTAGTGTATTATTAACAGCAATTAATTAGATACTGAACATAAAACAATCTTGCCGTCCACACTGCTCTGTTTTCCATATTTCCTGGCCAAGTCAATTTCTAATCTCCAATACGATCAACGCTCACCCGTCACCCCCCTTTTTCCTCTTCATTAGCATACTAATTGCGAGCAAAGTTCTACCCGGCGATTTATCGGGCCGCTGGTGTATCACCGATAAAACGTCCACCAGGCCCAACCGATTATGTCCGTGCGAACGTTTCACGACACCCTTCGGTAACACCCCCTCGCTTCGGCTCGCTATCGCGAATTCAATGTTCGCTGCCCTTCGACACCACGGAAACAGTTCACTCTAATGGGCGGAAGTGCCGGACGGGTTAGGGTCGATTTATACTGTCAAGGCACGTTCGAACGAAGACACCGTATAAGGTGATACAAAATTTCTATTTCACCATTTCGTTTTCAATTAATATTCGACGTTCTTCTGTTCGAAAAATTGGAATTTGAAATTTGCTATTTAAAGCTTGTTCGGAAAATGTTACCTGGCTACTCTGCGAGAAGGTCGAGCGTGTAAATTAATCACATCACCCAACTCATTAGCAATAATTCAATACGCCCAGTTGTGGGCCCTGTTGCATAATTGATTGTATAGAACGGCGCATATGTAATCGGGGGTTTCACTGCTGATCGTATTAGCCATAACCCACGATAATCTAACGTATTAGGCAGAGATTGGCAGATAGGAAGGTAAAACAGATAAATCCGTTCATTAAAGATCGCTTTAAATTCAGAGCCCAATTCTGGACAAAATCTCAATCGACTGCCATTCAAATTATTCCAATATAGAAATCATTATAATTTCTTCCAAACGATACAAGACAAAGGCACGAGAACAAATAGCCGTACGAAGAAACGTAACTCACTACCCGAGACACAATTAGTACCAATAGGCTGTGGATTGAAGTCACATCGATCAAAAACCGAGCTCGCAACTCAAAGGAGCGAAATAAAAAAAGAAACAAGCGAGGAACAAAGCGTCACAAATCACGTCAGACTGAATCGACTTTAAACACCGAGAGACACAAAGCTCGAGATCGAACGAGGCCAGGAATAGGAAGGCCCTGGTCTAAGGAGAAGGAACAATGGAACGATCGAGATCCCCTGTACAGATAGGATTCTATAGGAATCGATCAATGCGAAGGAGTTAGATATCCTCCTCCTCTTCCTCCTCGCGGAGGTAAGCTGAAAAGGTTGACGCGTAACTCGGTGCACGCGTTGTCCACCCACGCAGTACCCATGGACCACCATGGAGGTGAAGGCGCGAAGGTTGCCGGAGGTGGTACGCTTTCCGACTGGAAAGCAGCACCTTTCGAAATCACTTAAACTGATTAGGCTGCGAACTCGGTCGACGGGGTGGCTGGTGATTTACGACGGTCTGGCAATTTTGCGTTTCAGATCGCGCTCGTTACACGCTCCTCGTAAAACAGCACGCGCCACCGTTCCAGCTTGGTTAAAACCCTTTCGTTACCTAAGCGATTTCCATTGAAGATCATCCATTAAATAACCATCCGAAGATTATATTTTACGGTTCCTAATAATAGAACTACCGAGGCTCTTATGTGTCTCTGAATCAATTATCGTTTCACAAAGTTCGATTGAAATTTGTTTTACGAATCTTGAAAGGGATTACAATCGTTTTTCACTCGCTTCTGTTCAAGCTACTAAAAGCTGCACGAGATTCCATGAATTCGCCTCGATTCATATGGATGAACGACGAAGCTGGAAAGAACGAGCAGAGGAAACCGTTCGAACGGATCTATCTCGCAATTACGAGATTCGGAATGAATATTAAAGCTGCGTTTCCCAGACGATCGGATTGATCGCGGAATTGAGTAAACTCAATTACGCCGATTAATCATTTGCTCGGCTCGGACTCGACCGTTTTAATATCGGCCAGCCGGTGTAATGAGGCCGGTATTAAAGTTAATGGCGACACCTCGCGAGACGAACGAGACAGATCGAAGAGTTCGCTAACTGACAGCTTGTTCTTCGTTACTCGTTTATCAGACTACCTTCTCCAGCTTTCGACTAATAAATCAGCATATCGGTGACTGAAACCAGTTCCACGATCGTGTCGAGCTGTTCATTCGCTTTTTTTTCCTTCGCTTCGAGGAAGAAATTTTATCATTTAACCCTTTTCAGATCAAGGAAACGATCAAACTCTGAATATTCGTGAAAATTTCTCTATTCAACTGAAGGAGACACATTTTATTTTGCATATTTTATATAAAAATTTAATTTAAAGTTTTAAAATATTTAAATTAAATTAAAAAAGGAAAATCACAAAGATGTACAGGGATCATGTACATCCATAAACCTCAGTGTTTTCTACCACGTTTAAACCCACACCTGCCCACACCATAAGTACCAAGAGAAATTTCATTTCGCTTTAATTACCAGCGAAATAAAAGGGTTGCACGCGACACAATAAAACGAACACGAGTGTCTTAAAAAAAAAAGAAAAAAGCGCCGCATTATTCTAGCGGAGCTGTCCAATTAACCCTAAGCAAACCACGTCGCAGGCAAGCATTTAACCTCCTTCTCGCCTAAACCGGAACTCTAGCCGGGCCGGAATGAAGCCGTAGAGCTGAACGCGTGCCCCATATAAAATAATATGGGACTAATTGGCTCGAGGAGCGCTGGATTTCCGCGGTTTACCAAGCTCAAATTATTGAGCCACCGAAACAACTTATTTTACCTGCACGTACAGAATACATTGAGAATGTATGGCGAGGAACGTGTTCCACTTTCAAAACATGGATTATACTCAGATTTTTGGAGGGGAATTTTCTTCTTTTTTATTTTAATATATTAATTATTACATCAGTGATGTTTTTGGAAGGGGTTGTTATAGGCAATGAAACACAAAGATGATTTATTTGTAATTTCTTGCAGTTGAAAATCTTCTTAAACAAATTTATATTAATTTTTGCCAAATTTTAAGTTTTAAATTAATGTACCATACATGGTATTTTGTGATACTTTTATGTCACGAAATTATATCATACTTAATATGCAGAAACCAACCAATAGATTCAAAAGCAAAATACCTATCCTCATTTCTAACCCCCCCCTCTTTTAGTCGCCTCTTACGACAGGCAGAGGATACCGTGGCTGTATTCTAAACCCCCCAGCCACAGGGGGAAACATTTACTATAAAATTATATAAACAAATAACGTGGGTTATTATATTCTCCATCTGTCTTCAATTTCCTGAAAGTAATCTCGTATCAAAGAAACAACTGATCGATGACCAACAGTTTGACATCATCCAATATCGTTCATCCCCCTGAAAATCATCGATCCAAAAGAAAATAAGCACATAAGTTCGCGTTTCGACGGTTAACTTCACGGGACATTTGTCCCCAGCCGTCTTCATTTTCCACTCGCCATATCGGGATTAATGCTCGGCTTAAATGTTTGTTGGGCGCGCGTTTTGGCGCGCGGCAGCCGTGTCAAGTGATGGAATTAATCGTAGATGGATCCCTCGAGGGTGGTGCATGATTCACCAGGAACCGCATCGCGCCACACCCCGCCACAAAATGGTGTGCACGTTGCACACGATTGCGCGACACTAGGGTGCAGCTCGACACAACAGTTCTATATGTTTGCGTCCGCAGGATAGGGGTCGCATGATTGTGGGGGCAAGTTCGCAGGTGGGGCGAGGGTTGTTGTTGTTATTTGAGTTGCAGACAAATATGCTTCAACGTTCCTGCATTGTTTATAGAGTACATAGAATATTTTGTTATTTCAGGAAAACTTTCTAACACCTTGCATAAATAAATAGAATAACTTTTATTTTCAATTTTCTCTTAATTCATGGAGGATGAAGTTATTAATTTATTCTGTACAAAGTTGCATTGGAATAAACAACTTTTAATGGGTAGTTTATTTTATTAGAACAGACAGTAACGATTTCTGCATCTAAAAAAAAATGAGCCCTCAAATAAACAACCCCCTTTTACAAAGTCTGTTCAATCCACGAGGAAGGAATAATTCCATAGAAATAAAGAGGACTACCAATGCCACAAAGTGTTACAATCGTGTTGGCTGAAGACGAGCCATATTGCGCCCGCTTTTCCAACCACTATTATTTATGAAGCAACCCCCTCGGTGTAATAATCGCGTTGCAGCCCCCTGATCCGTTCCACGATCCCGTGCAGGGCCCCGTGTTACTACGTAACCGTGCCGAATCCCTTCCGATTATCATGCCAATATTGTCCCCGGCGTGTGATCGATGCTCTTACTGTTCGCGCAGATACCAGGATCCCTTGGAGACACGAGTGTGTCGGTAGCCATGCGTGCACCGAACCACTCTGCACGTGTATGTGTGTAAATTCGACCACAGAGTATCGCAACATATGCTGCGTTACACATTCTGTCCGTACTGCGAGCAATTCCTCCGCATTTGCATCTTGCGTCAATCCCCCAACCCCCTATGAAATTCTTTTAATCCTTTGGATTGAGTTAGCTGTGGTGGTTGATGGGAGAGAAGGGTGGTTGACGATGGTCAGTTTTGGGGGAAACGTGGATTCGAGAGAAAGAAATGGGTCAAGATAAAAGGGAGGATTTGGGGATGCTATGGATGGGTCAGTTTCGTGGATTCGATCTGAATTCCTTTTATAATATTTTGTAACATAGAAAGAAAAATATTATATTAATTTTCTAACAAGTGGAACATGAATTGTACGTTCATTATCAATTTTTTAACGCTGAATATATTTCATCCTTAATTGAAATTTTCATTATTATTGATTTTAATCGAGTTCGCGAGTTTGAAAAATTGTAAAATTTTTTTCAATAGCAGCTTTAATATTCTTATACCACCGTAGGTGGTTGATCACGTTGTATCGTTCTACTTTGATGAGACACGCGGTTTCATATCCATAATTTTGCTAACTACCAGTTGGATAATGGATTACAAGGATAATGGACTACAAAGCTCGATGTACTTTGTATTATTCAGAGCCTGCTCGTATTCGGAGATAATTTGATCTTCATTAAATTCAATGAAAACCTGCGAACCCGGTATCTTTTTTATTAAACCAGGTGTCCAATTTTAATCAAACGATAAGAAGTATAAAATTATCTATATTTTGCGAATATTTGGACAGAATGCAATTTGTATTCGAGTATCTTCTATTCAATTCGAACCTCTCGTCTGAAACGTCAATACCTAATAAACCTGCCTCTCCAATTCTTTCTCTTCTTTCTCAAGAGGCAGCATCGACTTTCCATAAATTTCGATCGAGGCTAACGGAAGAAAGCAAACTGAAATCCTGTCGGTTCGATCCGCAGGACAAAGACAAAGAGCGTCATAGACGACCCAGGGGTGTACTCGTGTCGTCGATTGATCTCACGTGTCGTTGTTTCGCGACGATCCTACGGGAGAATCCGTCGCGAACCACCCCTTCCCTGTTCACCCCTCGACGTCGCGGTAATTAATAATTATATCCGAGAAAGTAGCGACCGGTCGAAGTTATAATTACGCCAGGAACAATCAACAACTAGTAGAGTGGAACTGGTCGAAGGGATGCGGGAGGGTTGAACGTCAGAATTCGAGGGAGGGGTTGAAGGAAACTCGCCTGGCAGTCTCTCGAGACACCGTACACCCAACTTGACAGGGAACTTTATTCCTTGCAGTCTCCTGTCTCTCCTCCCTCTCTTTCCTCTTTTTTTCCTTCGTCCTTGTAGCTCCTTTTTATCGAAGGTCTCGGCCCTCGACTCGGGGCTGTCTTCTTTTCCGCTCATTCAGTTTATCCCGGCCTTTTCTCTTGGCCGACAGTGTTCCTGCTTCCGGCCACTTCATTCAACTGTGAAAGGAAAAGTTTCCAATGAAATAAGTAGCGAAGCGAAGCCCGGAGGATCATTATACCGGAGGAGCGAAGGGGGTGAGTTTCGCAGCTGGCTACTTTGTAATCGTTGCCTCGAAATCATCCTCTGGCTGACTCGACGCGTGCACCCTCTGTCCGTGTGTAATCCACCGACATGGATGGGGTAAAATGGGGTAATTAACCCCGGGGAGGTTCTTCTCTTCGAAAAATTTCTCGTCCTCTCTTCTGGTTAACTTCCTTCGCCAGATACGTTGCTCCTTCGTTCTAATTATCGTTAACTCTGGTTGAATCTTAATTCGGATCGAAAGGGAAATTTTTTGTTATCGAGATTGAAATTTTTCTTCCAGAATTTCTTAAAAATTTAAACAAGGTACACTGTTTTAGAACTTTGAATTAAGGGGAAGTCTAAGGGTGTCTCAAAACACTATGAACGTAAAAATTTCTATTCCACGTGCAAAAACCTTCGCCATCCATCGGAAAGTTAACAACCCCGTAGAAGCGGTTTAAAACATTCAACACCTCTATACGGGGGTAAAAGCGGAGTGTAAACCGACGGACAAAATACCCCTGGCTATTAGTTTAACAAGCGTTTATGAATATTTTCTTCCTGTCGGAGTAGGTCGGATCGATAGATCGTCGCGTGATCAAGAGATCGGTGAATAATTTCTGAACTGGGTCCCCCGGTGCATCGAGCGGACCCATATAACGTGTCTCGTTATTCAAGAATACGTACATACCGGCTGGTAATGGACGAAACTGTGCGGTGGATGGATAAGAGAGAGGAAAGGCTTGAACTTATGCCTGGTGCATGCACACTAGGATTATTTGTGGCTCGCGTTACATTATCCTCATTTAGAATTCACGCTCCCCGGGCGTTTATCTGTTCCATGCATCTGCCGCATATTTTGCTCTTACGGGACGAGCCCATCGTTGTGTAAAGCTCTTACGCGAGAACTGTCCAGATCGAAAACGCTCGTTTCGCAGTGTTACCACAAAACGTTGCGAATCCGTGGCCAAGACGATGCCGGTCGTGTAATAGAGGCTGAGGTATTTTCGATGGGGCTATAGTTTTGTTTTATTCGACGATGGATAGTATACAGCTCGAGGCACATAATTCTTGCTTCGTATAGTAGATAAAATAAGAAATATAAATTACGTTTGTTCTTTGGAATAATGCGAAAATAAAAAATGAAGGGAAATAATTAGTAAAACTTTCTAAGCACTGCACGTGCATCGATATCGCGCGGATATCATCCGCTCTGACCGCAGCGGGATACAAAACGAAGAGGATCCGCTCTGCTTAACATTCAGCCCGACACGCTCGTTGATTGGCTATTAATTATCCGACCGACAAGAATAACGATTAACTTGGCGTATCGCGTGTTTGCTCGCCGCGCCCCCTCGATCCCCGTTCCGAATGCAACGCGGATCGATCGTGGATCAACGAAAGTGGCTGTACGTGTCGTAAATCAAACGCGTCTCGCTCGTAAATTCGGGCCAACTCATCGCTCGATCATCGATCCCTTCCGTCCCCGTCCCGTTGAGCCGCTTTCCAAGTTAAAGAGCCGGCCAACCACCGGATAAAAAGAAGAAACAAGACGAACTACCCTATAATTGAGAAGTTGCTAATTGATTCGGTGATGGATAGGGATTTTTAGCGAGCACCTGTGGCGTACAGGGAAAAAACGAACAGACAGGCGGGAATGCGTGTAGAACAGGGTCGAAGCAGTATCGAGATTGAGGATAAAGAGGCTTAATCGATTCGAGAAGCTTGTCGATAGGTTGTAGTTGAAGCTTAATATGGCTCCTCTTTGGACTAATTAAAGTTAACTCGGGAAAAATGTGTTAGAGTTGTAATTAGATTTTTGCAATTTTAGAAATTCGAGTAATATCGAATAGAATAATTTTGAAATGAAGAATATACAATTTAGAAAATTAAAATAATATGAAATACGAGATTAAATTAAAATTGCGATTCTCTCCATGGTCCGTCGCGACGTTTTAATTCACAGAATTTTGTTTTGAAATGAAATTTGCAAATTGTCAAGTTTCTTCAATAATTCTCAAAGAATAAAATAGAGAAAAATACTACAAACTAGTCTGACTACGGAAGCACAGTAAAGTGGCATGAAAGAAGCGGAAGAACGTAAGAGAAACTAAGTAAAACGCGGGAACGTTTAAATCCATGCCCCGGTTCGGGAAATGGAATTTTTCCTTTTGCCCGATGTCTGAGGTTCCGCGACAAAGTCGACGGACTTGCAAACTGCACTCGAAACTGTCCCCGAAGTGGGCCGGAAGTAGGCGTAATTCAAGTTTCATGGCCGGAGGGACGGGTAATAGACGCGAATGGGGCAAGTTTCGCGTTGCAAGAAGTGGAAGCGTGCTTTCGCTCGTTTGTTGTACACTGAAGTGGCCCGACGGAAGAAAAGTATGCACAAAGGAGCATCGTCGAGCGGGTGGTTCTTCTTTTCGTTCTTCCTTCTTTTTTTTTTCCTCTCTCCCTTTCTTTCTGCCTTTTTGCCTCGACTCGAGTGTTCTACGAGCACGAAAGCAACGCTCGTTCGCTCGGTCTGCCTGCCACGGGCCATCGATGCACGCTCGCGGTTAATTTCATGCCCGAATAATGATCTAGAGGCTCGTTTGTTCTAGAGCGTTGTTCAAGCAAACTCTGCTTTTCTGTTTGTTAGCAATTTCGCGTAGCAAACGGCTTCTCCTCGTCACGGACGTTTATTCTTTAACCGTAGGCTCTTACATTTCTTGCGATTCTCTTTTCATTCCTCCTATTGTTTTAATAATCATTTAAGTAAGAATTAACGATCACGCACGAAAGGTGAATTTCGCTTTCCCGTATGATTATAGGATAAAGTGATCAAGGAATTACGGGCTTGAGCCGATAGCATCTAGAGTAGAAAGTTGAAAATATCTTGTAATCATAAACCACAATTGTGTCCCATTAAATTTCAAGTAAAATGTACGGGTAATTGTGATGTATGTAGATAGTGTAAATTATGATTATCCTTGGTTATAATAGAGGGTAATTCAACGGCTGTTTCTTAGTAGTTGTTATTATTACTAGTTATTTATTTAATTTAAAATAATATTTAATTAAGTAAATTTTGATAAAATAATATAACATACCACTGGGAGTCTAGGACTCCCAGAATCATGACCCATCGCGATCAAAGGCATGTTCTCTTTATATCTGTGGTCACTCTATGATTCTGTATAAGGGATTCAATTTTGAAAAACAACCTCTCTAAACATTGAAAAGATTCATTCCGCTGTAAACGAAACAGGGAAATAATTTTCTGTTTAAAAAATATCAAAACATGACAAAATAAGAATCAGTTTTGAAGCTAACCCGAAATAATGAGAAGAGAGGAAATTTATTCGAGCATAAATTTTTCTGCTTTTCATCTGAAATATTTGTCAAGATACGAAATAATGAATAGAATTTTCGTGAGGGTTGATATCACGCGATAGGGTAATCGATTAATTCGAGTGAATAATCGGCAAGAATATCCCGTAGAGGACCCGTTCTACTTTCGTGTAATGGCAGCGACGTATGATTGCTTCTTCTAAACGTTCCCCAGGGGGAGAAGGCATTACCAGTTATAACGTTCTCGTTGGAAATTGACCGCTTGAAAATTGGGTATTAAGACTGTGTAACGTCGCGTTGGCTTAGCATGAGCTCGCATGGAATTTCTTATTAAAATCGCTACGAACAGCTAGAAATTTCCATCAGCTATAGAGTGCTACAGGAAATTAGCAGGAAAACGATCCCTTTGCTTCGACGAAGTTCCAAGTAGAACGAGCTGCGAGTGCGTAAGTTTGCTTGCGAAAGGATGTAGTAAAAGTAACTGCATGATCTAAGGACATCAAACGGTTCACGGTGGAGTTAAGTTTCGTAGACGAGGTTTATGTACCGGGTTAAGGAAGAAGATGTACCCTATAAAATTATACGGTGATCGAAAGAAGTTTGTAAAACAGGAGTTTCAGAAACGCAGATGCTGTAATAAACTTTGTAGAAAAATAACACTTTTCTATCCGTTCATTTTTACAAATTTTATTTACAGCAAACACGGTTGGTTTATTCAATCCGAAACGAGATAATGAGAAACTACCGACAAATTTTACCGCAAATGTCGCTTTTCGTACAATTCGCTCGTTTTCAACCTGGTTCTCTTAATAATCACGACGACGAAAAAGGGAGACTGAGCGACAACAGGTTACAAAATTATAAAAACCTAGCAGAAAAAAAGAAACAAAAAGGAAATAGAGAAAACACTCGGTGCGCGAACACGCTTTCCTATTCATGAAACTGCAATTGCTCGCTGGGCAACACGACCAGCGTGCCAACGAAACTGATGAGGTCGTTACGTTTAGCAGATTTGTTAAAATATTCGTCGCCAGGCTGTCGTTAATTATCGTCGCGAATTCGTGCAACGTCACTTCCGTTTTTATCCCTCTGTTGGGACACCGTTTTTCGCCATCGCAATATAACGTCCAATCGGTGAATGACTATTCGTTAACACACTGAATGCTGTGAGTGAAATATTGTTGAAAGCGTTTAAATTAAAGGAATGGTAATATTAGTAAAATGTAAAATATTAGAAATCGGTGAAAGATCAATAAAAATACATGCGATTATCGAGCCACCTCTTGATAAAGGGTTAATTTTAATTTAATTTTCTATTTCATATTACTCTCATTTTTAAAAATTATTCTTCTGCAAATTTAGGCCACGATTGATTTCGCCTTTAAAGAGTTAAGTGAAATTAATCTTCTAAATCGAGGAAAATTCAACTACGTTCGTGATCGTGGTAGATAGAGAGGGAAGAGGGCGTATCGCCAATTACTTGATGGGGTTGTTGAAGCCGGAAATACGGTGGGTCATCAGCAGTTATGAAACGTCGTGTCACCGGTAACTATCGTAATATGCAGCAAGATTTGGCTAGCTACATACGACCGGGTACAATATAAATTTCCCTGTTAACGAGCTACCTCGTAACGACGGAACCCTTGAGCTACCATACTGCACGGTACACAAGCTGGCATCTAATAAACATACATATCGCTAATACACACAATAATATGGGTTGCTCCGACCTAGCCCCAGCACCTAGGTATAGACCTGTACCAGGCTTGTGTACCTATATACGTTACCTCCACCCATAGATGAGACCCCGTTCTCTGTGTAATCATCCCGGGTACAGAGTGGTTGGGAGAGCAATTTCGGAAGTCGTTGCCGAGAATAACCGGGTCCGCAAAGGAGTAGGTGAGGTCGCCTTTATTCGACCCAAAATCGAGGCACGGGTCGAGATTTCTTGTCGATAGAGAAGCCTCTTTGAGCGTCGTTTATGTTCCCTCGTCGTTATTTCCAAGTTTGCGTACGTTTAGGGAAGGATTTTAGAGAATATAACCATGCTTAACCGTAACGTTCGGTACTGAAATAAAATTACCTAAAACACGAAGTACACACAAAGCCATCCATTTCAGTCGTTCAATCTTAAAAAAAAATCACCCGCATCTCCAGCGAGCCCCGACGCAAAACCGTGTACCTCGGAATCACAATCGCGATGTTTGACGCAATAAAATGCCCACACGAGCCCGGTCCGTCAGGTTAAAACGTCTAAAACAAGTCGGTACACGAAGAAACGGAGGCTGATATTTTTCTACCGGGAACACGCGTACGTACGTTCCGCTACGAGAGGCAAGATAAATATCCCCCGCAAGCTGGAACGCGTTACACGGTAGCAAAGACGTCCAACGTTTTTCCTAGCCATCAGACGTACGCACACATACGAAATTGCCAGGTACAAAGACGCATTTAAGTCCGCGGCTACTACGCGGAGTCACGATACACGTTGTCTTTACCTTGCATTCGAGGCACGCCGCGCATCGAGATAATGACGGTCCAGCTTATTGAGAGATCGCAACCGAGCGTGTGTACCGCTTTACAAGCCACCATCGTCAGATATCGTGGTTGTGATTCGAGACGCGAGGCAATACGTTGAACGAGGTATCGATAGAACTACGTGCTTCGTGTTTTATGCGAGAGGGTAGTAGACGAAACACGACTAGGAGCATCGTACCGATATCATCGAGGCATTGTGCAACTTCTTAATTTTACGTTACATAAAGTTATACGAGTATCGTTCGAAAGGAATGATATTGGATTTCGCGTGAAGCTCGATCTTGAAGGTAAAGAAAACTCTCGTCGGAAGAGGTTGCATTAGTTTTTTAACTTGAAATAGTAATTTCAAGGTTCCCAAGCGAATGAATTTTCGAGACACCCTGTAGATTGTCTACGCGACAAGCAGGCGGCGCACCGGTTTCATTTAAGCCAAGAAATTGGAATAAAAGCACAGCGCGACTCAATTAACCGCCGGCAAATATTTAATTACAAACGCAAATCTTGCTTGCTTCGGTTCTCCTTTGAGCTGGAATGGCCGGAACCGAGCCATTCAAACCAGCCACCGTCTGCCTGCACGCAGTTTCTCCTCAACTTTCCGTTCAATGCAACGAAGAAGAAGAAGAGGGTGAAATAAGACGACCACCTACTTTAACCAGACACAATTTCTCTTTCTACGATTTGCCAACTGCTGCATTAATCAAATCGAGAATCGATGAGAATCTCCTCCTAAAAGATGAATGAATTCTGCTTGAAATTTTACTACCATTAATTAACCACTAATTATTTCTTACCTAGAATGGGTTATTCAGGATGGGTTATTTTCTCTTTTTCTTCCTTCAGTGTAATATTGAGATCGATGTTGGTCATATTTTCCGGAAACTACCACTTATCTCAAGGCACGTGATATGCATACCTATTTCCTTGCATTTTTGGCTAGAAAATATCTACCATGGAAGGACTTTCAAATCTGATACTTTGCTTTGAAAATAGGAGGCATCGATTCTTCGTCAACTGGTTTGCTTTTTTTCTAAAATTTTTTTAGACTGCCTCGAAGATCAATCACTATTGAATTCTTTCAAGAATCATCAATTCGTACATCGACGACACGTTTGAAACACCCTGTAGATAGTGGTTGCTCGTGCTAAGTGCATAGTTGAGAATTTTACACCGCAGTACCGGTTAGACGGGCTAGCCAGGCTCGATTGCGATTCCCTTTAGCCCGGCAGGTGCACAGCACCGCGTCAGGTAACTTACACCTATATTGGGACCGTTTTGGCCTCGTTTGCATCGCGCTGCCACGTTTACACGAGCTTCCAGTGTTCCACCTAGAGGCTCGTTACACCTGTTAACGTTACCATGGCGCGAGCTAGCAACCGACAGACCAGTCTCATTGTAAAACACGCGAGGATCTCTTCCTGCTCTCCTTCATCGGCGGGGAGAAATCGAATCGATTCAATGGGATTCCATCGGCAGCGGATTGTTAAGTGGAAGACTCTGGTCCGACCACTTCGAGTACGGGGATTGGTACAAAGAAATCCTGATGACTCTGCTCGATTCTGGAACATTGCGAGAAATCTTACTTAGTACAGCAATTTCATGGTAGCGAAGGAATGTCGAAGGAATTTTGAAAAATTGTTTAACGAACGAGATGGAATGCTGAAGAATTTTTAACGATTACAAGTTATAGAGAAGTTGCTTCTTTTTCTTTTTTTTTTTTAATGAAATCTTGGAGATTCTGTTGGACGAAATTGGATGTGTTCCATGCGGAACGGAGGTTCCATTTCCGATGGGGAACGATATTTATGAGGCGACTGCCAGTCGTTAGGGCTGTTCGCGGAAAATTAAAATTATCTGTCAGCGGGCACATGGCGTTGAACGTTTTAAAGGGTGAGACGAATTGCTGTAACGAGTTCGGTCACGCTTTATGCTACGTTTTGCGGGACTCCCATTTAGCCAGCGAATTTCTTTTTTATTTTCCAAGAGTACCGGCTGGAGTGTCAAAGATTCTGGAGATAACGCATTTATTGCTATAGTAAATTAGAGCGTTTTCTTTCAACGTTGTTAATTTCGCATATTTTTTATTTAATTAAGGGTACTTCATGTTTCTTTTTACGAAACGTCGTGAAAACCACTGGCCAAGTAACGAGTGTGGATAAAAGGGATTAGACGGTTCGGCCCTTCTCTTTGTAGGCAGAAAGAAGAATTATTAAGAACGCAGGTTCTTTTCGACGATATTCGACCAACCACCTCGGCTTTTGACGCACTCGTTGCGATGCATAACTGCGTGTCTCGTTTTCTTTCCCCTTTTGGGTGAAAGGACCGTCGAGGAAATTGTTACGTTCCCGACGTTTTTTCAAGCGTTCGTGAAAGCCGACGTTGCCCGGCAATTTCGATGTAGATTTCTGAAGGGCCTTTTAACATGGCTTGGCTAAAGGATCAAGGACCAAGGAACCCTTCGATCGAGAGCCAGCGTTTCCTGATTCCGACAGCGCGAGACAGCTTTCCCCCTTTCTTTATGAACACCCTTCTTTCTTACACTCAAACATGAAAATTATTGTTTGCTATCAAGAAACTCTAAGATTCATTAAAAAGCAAAACTGAAGAAATGAAAAACAATTTTTATAAAATGATTCAAAGGTTAATTGAATGAACCGTATAGCCAGAAATTAAAGAGATTTCAATCCCTAATACGATCATACGTATATAAATCAACGAGCCGCATTATGATTTCATGGTCGACGAGGCAAAGCGATTGGTGGCCGCGGGCCTGCAGGTGAACGCAAAACAACGAGCAGGGAACTTGAAAGACAACAGAACATTTTTAATAAAACGTGTGTCACTTTGTGCGACGAAAGTGGTCGCCCTGGGCGGCTCTAGCCGTTTAATTCCGATCCTCTTTGATGCGAGCGAACTGTTCGCGTTCGTTTTATACTTCATGTGTATTCAAGCGGCGCCAAGCGCGTCTTTATTGAGTCAAGCCGACGAGGATGGATCACTATTTGAACGAACTATTCGGAAAGGTGGTAGTCTGATACGATTTTCTTCATCCCCACCTGGACTATCGTTATCCTTTGAAGGATACGATCGAGGATCGTTTAACCCGGTTGAGTCGAGGATATTTTGAAGATTGAAAGCGTTCGATTTACTTAAGTTGCTTGAAAATTAGAGTGGATTAAGGGGATGAGAAACTTGGAAAGTCTATTTGCTGAATTCGCACTGTGAAATGGAGTATCTTTTGATTCGGGTACAAAGTAGTTTTCAAAGAGATGAATCGAGTTTTCGGAAATGCATAAACTAGAAAATTGCATCGCTCGAAATAAACGTAAAGAGGGATATGCGAGAACCCGAAAATATCAAGTGGAATCGACTTGGCTAGACTCGACTGGATCGAGTATCGGGTACCCGAAATTTCCAGGCTAGAGATAGAAGAAATGCAGTAGATGCAACGAAACCGCGTGATTAAGTAGATCGACCCCGTGAAAAGTAGCGAAAACACTCCAGTGAAGTAAAGGAAATTCAATTAAGTCAAACATCAGATGAAAGGAGAAGGATCGTGGTACCGGTTCCTTCTGACGTAGCCGGCCAGGGGTGTGAGAGTGGTTGCAATTATTAGAGAGTGCATTCACCGTTGGCAAGGCTGGGTACTTTGAGGTTGGGAATCTCATCGAACGTTGTTCACTCTCGATAACTCGACAGTTAAATACAGAGAAGACGAAGCGTGCTGGAAAGCCTGTTCCGTGCGGAAGCTATCGACTTCTTGGCTTCCTTCGCTCGTTTTCCTTCGTGTTCCGTGTCTGCCAGGGCAGATGGATTACGAAGCCGAATTGAACGAGATCAAAGTGGACTATATACCGTCGGCGAAACGCTGTATCGAGTTTAGAGAGGAGTCTAAAAATAGGATCTACCCGGGTATTAAGTACACCGAATACGTTCCCGACGAACGTCTACTGGATTAAGACGGATTCCCGTATGATTACCTCAGCTACGAGGAATTCCTTGAATAATATTGATCGATGATCCGTCTATCGTGTAGATGCGCACCTTTGATATCATCCTCGCCAGCCACACCTTTCAGATTTTCATAAATATTGTCTTTGGGTAGAAGAGAAACATCTTAGATGAAACCTCGGCTGACGTTAATGGAGTTTATTCGTGAAATTAATGGAACATTATATAAAAGGGAAGGATGAAAAAATATTCTTTCACCGAGTTCTTTGTTCATCTGTAAGATAAAAAGTATCACTGAGAAGTCAGGAAATTAACGTTCATTTTAATACGATTATTCAGTGAAGTTCTTTAATTAAAACTTTTTTTCTGCACCTGTTTATATCGTGTTTGAAGTATTATTCACACTTTTCTGAATGCATAGTTACGCGTTGACTGGCGCAGTAGAAAAAACCGGGTATAGTCAGACACACTCTACTTGTAATTATATTTCCTTTTTCCACTTAAGCTTTTCGATTGCTACTTTGTGTAACTACCATAATATTCATGCTGCTTGACATTTAATTTTAATTCCTTAATAAATCATAAATTACGGTTTATTTCTTTATGTATGGTTACTTTCACTGAAAATTACATAGATTCAAAGGAATTTCCTGGATTTATTCTGATGCTTTTTTTTTTTCCCTCGGTCCTGAATAATGCTCAGTCTGTTCCCAATGGGATTTTCAAAGCATGGAAGCACTTTAAAAGGGAACAGTCAAAATTTCTTCAAGGCAAAGATTTGAAAATCTACTTTCCGGTTGCCCTTGCCTTCTTTCAGGACCCTGTCCTGCCAGGACCTTTGCTTTGACCTTTGACGAGAGCGGATTACCGGCTCGAGCAACTGTCTGAGACCATTATTGGTTCGAAGCTGAAGAATGTGTACAAAGAAAATAGCAACGTGTTCTAAAATTCGTCGATTTATATTTTAAAATATTCCTAAGGGTATGAAATGTGTTATTTAATGTTGTAGAGTTTACCCAATGGCTATGCAATTTTTTATTAAACAAACTTTTCTGAATGTAAATAAAATAAAATGAAAGCACAAATTTTGTAAATGAAACTTTAAGAAAATTACGTTTAAACCTTTGTTTTACACGACGAAGTTTTACTTAATGAAAAATCACGGGGTAAGTTAAACGAATCAAGGCGAGCCAATTTTCCAATATTTTCAGGCAGCAGAAAATTAGTCTCGAAGGAAGATGGAAAGTTAATTTCTTGTTAGCTCGTGGAAGAAAAGCGGTAGAAAATTAACTAAGACCAGTCGATTAATTGTCGAACAATCTTCACTTTTTACTCTAGTATCCTTAGAGTAGTAAAGAAAACGAAGGAAAATCAAATTTTCTTTGGAAAACTTCGATTCTGTAAATTACACTCGAGATTTTCATTAAAATCCTACTATTCCACCGATATGATTTGCAGGAGATTAATATTAACTTTCCTTATCAAAGGAAAAAGAGTAGATCACTATGAACTCGATATAATCGAATAAATAAAGAAAAAAATGAAACAAAATTTGCAGAGTCAGTCGTGTAAATTCTGGAGCCATTAAATTCGGAAAATGATTATCGTAACAGAAGGAAGGTTCATTTTCTTCTTCTTTGCAGGCAGAAAAGACGACATGAGCTTACAAAAGGTATTTCAAAGAAGTATTACAAAAGAAAAGAGAAGAGAATGGTAAAGACGTAACCGAGCGATTCAATTATTTCTTCCGGATGAATGCAGATAGTTAACAGCTTAAAAGGGGTGTGTGCCTTCATGAGTCGGATTAAATTTTCACGCTTTTCGGATCGTTGTACGCTCCCTTCCATCCAATAGAACGGAACTCCGTTTCGCTTGTACCATTTAATAAATTTTCAATTAGACAATTTTCCGGGCACGGGTTAATCGCGATTAATTCTGACGTGCGTTTAATCTATGGAAAAGACAGGACCGAGAAAGAAAATAATAAATATCTCGGATGACGTGTAATAATTGACTAATCTAATTTCACACTTCTGCAATCTCGTTTAAACTTCCGGCAGAAAGTGATCGTGAGACGATTTGCATATTTCCTACGGTAACCTGTGAAGCTAACAGAATAATTTGACTACGGAAATCTTTTATCCGGACGTTCAAAGTTTTTCCACGAGGAGAAACGTTATTCTTCTTGGAAAGTATTTTTAGCTTTCACCGACTATCCTTCTTTCCGCGAGACAAGTTTCCACGAGAAAATCGGGCCAGATGATTAATTAGATGCTTTCGAAACACTCTTGATTAAACAATATGAAATTTACCAATTCTTTTAATTTAATGTATAATTTAAATAAGAATTTCTTAAATAAGAATCTTCAATAGAAATATGTAGAATTTTGATTAAAGGAAGTGTATCAGGCTGTTGTTATTCGAAAACAATAAGCAGACGATGAATCATAGATCTAACTTTGTCACGAATGATATGTTGTTCGCCGATGCACTCTGACCGCTTATCAAGTCCTCGGCAGAGCCCTGACGTATCAGCCAGGAATCAGAAACATGGCCATCAAGATATCCAGGTGTCCGGTATCGTGTAAACAACAATGGCGAGACAAAC